GCTGCGGTTCCCTCGCTGCGGCGACGTGCCCGCCGCGGCCCCGCGCCGACCGGCCTCGTCGCCCAGAGCGGTAATTCGTTCAGGGCTGGCTCCAGATTTGGAGGAGGAACTGGGAGGCGGCCGCTGTGAGCGGGCTGGGAAGGTGACATCGCACGGACCCCTTGCAAGAGGTGAGGCGGGGGGGAAACAGCGGCTTCAGTCTCGTCTCTTGCCTTCAGCGCTGCAGGGCAGGACAAGTGACGCACCTTCTGTTATCCTGAGGTTTTGGTAAAACCTCCTTGGGAATGGCCCGAGTATGGCGCGTGCGCTCGCTCCGCCCGACTGGACCAGCATCTCTCGCGGAGGACGTGACTGTCGATTGGAAATCTCAGTTACAGAAAGCTAACCTTCTCCTTACCTCCGGGTGCAAGTAGCACTGTAAGTTTCCAACTTCCTAATTCTTCCTGTTGGCTTTTTTTCTTTTTTTGTTTCCCACCCCCGCACTTCTCGCAAGCAGTAAGATTTAAATCCCTTTTGCATGTCGGAGGGGGAATGTATTCGCCTTGTGCTGAAATTCATGATGAAACGATCTCAGAGACTCCAGGGATTATTTTTTAAGAGCTCTGGAAACATTTGGTAAGAGATGTCTTGTGGGGACACTATCAGATTTTGAGGTCTAGTTAATACGAAACTGTGGCTATGTGCACGGTGTAAGTATTCTTAAAAGTTTGTGTTAAATAAGAAAAGAAAATCCCCCAAATAAAAGAGTATAAGTAAAGTATTGGAAGAATTGAGAGGTGTTAACGTAAGAGGATAGCTTTTTCTAGAGCGCTAAAATGCATTCGTGACCTTATTCAAACGCTTTCAAAAGACCTCTGTAAAAAGCATCGCAGAACATAAACGCGGGACTTAACTGACAGATCTCTCATTTACCGCAGAAGGACGTCTTCCGCTTCGAAGGGCTCTGCTTCCATTCTGACTAGCCTAATAACCTAGTGACTCCGGGGGAGATAATCTTTCTCTGTATATGGATTAGAGAGCAGTACTGCTGGCATGGTGGGGTGGCACAGGTCAAGGAGAGGGGCACCATTTCCAATTCCACGTATCTTTCAGAGTACTGTAGTGTATGGTTATGTGAGTGGAGTAAGCATTTGTCTGCTTAAGTGTTTTGAAGATGTTTGTTTCAGAAATCTGCTTTTCTAAAGAAATCTTTAATCCTTTGTAAAGTAGGATTTTGTATATATTGGTATAGTTACATGATGATATTCACATGGGATGCATGTGTCGTGTTTCTTGTGGACACCTGTAAAGGTGACTGACTGGAAAGTATAAACACTTGATTTTTCATTGTTGTTTTCTCAACTAAATGTGAGAATCACTTTTTCTTTCCTAACTTCCTGACTGATACATTGTGCTGTGCACAGGATTCTCTTGGTCACATCCCTTCTCAACAATAACATCCTCTCAGCTGGTAACTTGTGCACACGAACAAAAGCAAATGTTTCCTAACAAGGCTAAGATAAATTAATCCTGGCAAATTAAAGTTCCCCAAATAAAAGTTTGTATTAAAAAAAAAACAAAAGAAAACTGATGTTTCCGTTTGGATTTTAAAATGGCTTTTTTTCCCGTAGATTCCCAGGAACCTGCATGAGAAGGGTGTGCACGTGTGTATTATATGTGCAAGTATCTTCTTTTTCTTAATCTGGGGAAAGGACGTTTAATTGTGATTTAGGGAAACAGTATTTTAACTTTTTACAGACTGCTTTTGAATGTGTTACAGTCTGACAGCATCTGAACAGTACTACAAGAGTATACAAGATTACAGAGATGTATATAAGCAATCCTCAAATATAAAATGAGAACATGAATTTCAAATTGAGGATAATCTAGGATCAAGAATAAAGTATATTTATATAAAGTGCTGGAAATAAAGACAGTTCAAAGAAGTTTTTTATGCTATTATTTTTGACAAAACATTTGAATTATATTGCAAGTTTTGACGCTTTGTATATTGAGCTGAGAAAAAAAGTCAGTGAGTTAGGATGTACCTTAATTTATTTTAGTTCTTCCACTTCTTTCTCCTGCCCAGTCAAGAGTACAATAGCACTAGAGACAGGTTGCTGTTGTTGTCTGAGGAAAAATATAGTCATAAAAATGTTTCTGAGTACATCTTTTAATTTCCTAGTAGCATATTTTATACAGTTCTGCCTCTTCAGGCTTCTGTGTGAAGTGAACAGTGCAGGGGCTCATTTTGTACGAATAAAACCTCTTGTATTATCTAAGGGATATTTCCGTATTCTGTTACAGGCACTCTGAGAGCAGCATTTCTCTCTGGATGTTCTAGTGTTATTTAATGACGGTATTTGTTTAGATGAACAATATCTGTATCAATACCTGGATAACCTGTGTCAGGTAACCTGATTTGGAAAACTTTTCTGGGAGTACACCCAGCCTGGCTTGTACTGACAGGCTTGGGAAGAACGTAAAGATTTTATTGCATGCCAAAAGGTGATGCAGTACTTCTTCTCTTGTGTCAAATGGCAGATTAAAAGCCAGTATATCTTGCTGATATTTTCTAACAAGTTGCGGTTACAGATTTGTAAGCTGCAATAGTTAGGCGTTCACTTTACTTTGACAGAAAATCTCAACTTGCTAGTTCAGGTTGCAAATATTTTTCACAAAAACTGTTAGAAATACACGCTTAGTTTCACGTATACTGGTTTATCACGGTGTAGAAAGAAGTGTTGTCATCTAGCTTACCTTGATGCTTATAGCTGAAAAAAATCCACTAACTTGTAAAGGTTTTCTGAAGCGGTTCCCAGGTTTGACATAGAGGCGTCCTCTTATTTGGTCGTAATTATCAAGATGTATTTTGCTCAACCAAAGTTATTCGCTAAAACAAGAGCTGATCTTTATTGGTGATTAAATTGATTTTTTTTCCCTCACCTCAAGCTGTTACTTCTAAGACCTGTGTAGTTACAGCTTTTTATGTACTGTGAAAAGGGCTGTTTTGCAAAGTGTACAAAAACACGAGTGCAATTTATGTTCTCTATTTATGGCATCTGAAACTTATTAAAAGAGTCTTTAAAACAATCAACAGGGTGTATACAAAACTGAAAAAGTAAAAACTAGGACAGAGCGTGTAGGATTGGACCGCTATTGTTTTAATGACTGATTTTTGCACTTCGGTCACTAGATGACTTTCTAAAAAGTCCCTATCTTAGGAGGAGAACTAAGGCTGACAAACAAACGCATTTTATTTTCCTCCTCAAGATAGATTGTGTTAGAAAGCATCAGCTTTCAGAATGTTTACAGCATGTCCTGGCTGGCCTAGTAACTTATATCTAGAAGAAAAAAAAAACACGTGTACTGTCAAATGACAGTATCGATACTTACCTGAGAAGGCAGAGTCATGTTTGAATTAGGATGAGCACAGTAGAGCTTCATTGGAAGAGATCTTTTGGGCTAAGCAGAACCTGCTGAATGCTAGATGCAAAAAATCTATGGTTAAACTGCATTTTGAGAGCAGCTGGGCGTTTGTGGCTGGGTCAGTAGCCTTACTAGACTCATTTGAGATTTTGAAGTAACGTCCCAGTTCTAGTGAAACATACCTTGATCTTTTAGAATAAGGCATGATGAGCAAGGCAACAATAAACGTGTTTAATAGCCGAGCTGAACTCAGCAGGCTTAGAATCATCGTTCGGCGCTGGGCCACAGAGTTTTAGTAGTTTAGGCTGAGATTTGGGGAGGAAAAAAATGTTATTGCATTATATGTAATGAATTGATAACTTCAATATATTAAAAAATCCTAATGGGAAATGGGAACAAAACCAGCAAATGCTTACAAGACTTACTTCCATAATCTGTTTTAACTTAATTTTTGGTCATCATGCACTTGCCTTAAGGGAGTTAGAAACTTTAGTACTATAACTAAGTAAAATACTATGTTCTAAATGTGATATTTCCAAGCTGGAATTGTTAACTACTGTCTCACAGTCATTATATCTGTATTTAAATTGTTGATTTTTGAGAACAACTTTAATGGTATACCTGTGAGAAATGCTGAAGGTCCGAAGTCAAAAAAATACTTAGCCCTGTATTACTTGCTTTGGTACTTCCTAGAATGTTATTGATGGAATCCTTGTAGATGTTCGTGGTGTATATTCATATACTGCAGATGCAATAGAAACAGTTCCGTTATTCAGAGGTATTTACTTTACTTTTTTGTCCTGACGGTGCAAAGCTATCTCACTTGCAATATCCTTTGAGAAGTGTTGAAATGGTAGTGAAGTTACTTATCTAACAACTTTCGTATTACACCGGTCATTTTTGACCTTCCGCCCATTAGTCTAGCAGTGTATCAAGAAAAGTTGAGTTGCTACATTAAGTTCTCTTCAGGCATCAATATCACAGCTTTCAGTAAACCCAATTATAATAATCAGTTCTAAATTTCTGAGTTTATTTTGCCAATGCAGCTCAACTAAATTTCAGTGAAGAACTGAGCTCTTGCAAGGCTATCAGAGCCAGCAAGCCTGATACAACACATTCTTTTCTTTTCTTGAACATGAAGAATTGCCACTCAAGCTCTGTGATGGTATTTGGAATGCAGGGACAGTAAGTACGGCACGTGTTATTTCCGAAGTCATTTCTCAGAATAGAATCACACTGCAATCCATCCAGCACTGTGGACTATACACCTACTGCTGTAGAGAGAAAGACAGGAAGAATAAGACCATGAAAGCAGAGTTCGCAGTAGTAGAATTTTTCAAGGCCTTACTATGTGGGCGGGGTGAGGTGGACTCCAAACTGATGTTCTCTGGCTGTGATTTAAGTAGATAAAATTTTAAATCCAGAGTTCTTAATGTGATGATTTTCCATGACTGAGGGACGTGCTGCTTGTTATTGAGACATACCTCTGGCTGTCTTGGCTTCAGAGTAACCAGCTGGAGGCTGATTAACTTTTTAGTACTTACAGTCTGTCTAAGTATCTAGTGCCAGGAAACTCTAGCTGCCAGCACTGATGTGCTAAGCTCTGCCACTGACCTATATCATCTGTAGCACCATTTCTTGGTGTCACGTCTTTCCAAATTTGTGACCCTATTTCTTTTCATCTAACTTTGCCAAACTTCAACTGTATTTAGGTTGAAACTTTTCCTGTTGGATGTCTGCTTAAGGTTCAGTTCTGTTTCAGAAACTTCTGTCAAAATAATGCATGTTCTTTTGAAACTAAGTTTAGGATGTGGTGTTCTTTGCCCATGTTCAAAATTCTCTTGGAGATGTTTCTATGAAATCATTTGTCATTTCAGTGCTTTGGGACAGGAACTCCAATTTGGGTAGGGGAAATGACCTCTGTAAAGGAAGTGTATGTTTTGTTTTCATTGTTGCCAAGTTGCCATCTACTCTGATTTGGCTGAATATATTAATGTTCAAAAAAATTAGTTAGCATGTGCCCAGTAAAAGTGGTTTTGATATGTGTGTGTATCTGTATTTTTTACTAAATAAAATCTGCATTGGTTTTGTCTTCAGTGAGAATGCTCAAACCTCTTTCTTTCCCATAGAAAAGCTCAGCGTGGTATAGTACATAAGGCAGTGGGAATCAAAGGCACGTAACTACTGCTGGGGCTGCAGGACTGGAGCTGAGTTAGGAGTCTGTTCCCACTGATACCTTCTCCTCTAGCCCCTCTTTCTCTGCTGCTGCTTCTAGTTCTAAGTGTTTGGTCTTCTGGTACTTAATAATGGAAAGGAATACAGCTGAGAAGGAAAAGACACTGACGATGGGTGAGGTAAACAAGTGGTGATGCGGGAAAGGTGGGGAAAGGAATTGCCATTGAATTGTAGAGAGTGGGGTCTGTTGGCAGAGCGCTTGGGAGAGCAGCTGCACGAGAGGGATGAAGGAGTGGGATTCAACAAAAAGTGGCACTCTGAAGCTGGGACTGGTTTAACTGGAAATGGCAACTAGGAGTCTGTGGCCGGGGAGGAAGGGAAGTAGAGATGGAGGAGACAGCAAGCAGGGAGGAGAAGTAGGCACCAAGAGCTGGGCTGTTGCGAGGAGCTGGAAATTGTCACAACGCTGCTGTTCAGGTGAGAGGCAGGGAGAAAGCTCTCGCGGAAGGACAGTAGGCTGAGGCTGAATCCAAATCGTAGAGGGGAAACGGGTAGCTCTTTAAAAAGCTGAATTTTCCTGCTTCACTGCTAAAATGGCTCTGAAGACAACTGGCTATGATACAGTCCCTGCTGTACAGCGCTGATCCACATGGCAATGGCAACTTATCCTCGGTCAGTTACTGGGCCCATAGAAGCCCATCCCTTCTGCAAACCAGGCTCTGCTCTTCCTCCCAACGCAGGGCATCTGTTAACTGTCTCGCAGTTCTCCTAGCAGCATCATGGATGGGAGGTACGGGCAGTAGTGTCAGATGCTACTTCTCTTTTTTCCCCACCAGCAAATACTGAAGTCAACCTCCGCTTGTGAAAAAGAGATGATGTGAGAGAGTTGTCTCATCAGGCTGACTTTGCCTAAGGTGCGTTTGGGAGTGCATTTGTGTTTTAATATCACTTTCTGCAGCGATATTAACATCAGCAGACAGAACAGACGGATCTGGAGGAGGTCCTTGTCTGCGTCCTTGGTTCAAATGACAGATGTTTGCACGTTGGATTGAAAAGTTCCAGTTCTAGCAGTGACTCATGTGCGTATCACTGACAGCTATTGTTTTCAGTACATACCCGCACTCAGGAAGCCTCTTGTTACATGCACACACTCTTACAGAGATGTTAAACGTCTGTGTTGCAAAGCCAGGTACTCAAGGAAAAGTGCTGCCTCCCATTTCATACTTCTTAAAAGTCATTTATCATAGGTAGGGGGTTTTATTCCCTCTACAGCACTTGGTCACTGCACAAGGTAGACCTATGTGGGCGGGGGGAACAGATCATGCAGTGAGTTTGGCAGTATGGCCCTTGCATCGTTCGGGGCCAAAGTTAGGAAGTGTGCAAGAAGGAGGTAGGAGACTGAAGGAGGAGAAAGGATGGGGGCAACGTCTCATGCCGGAGGTATTTAAAAGCTATCGGAGGGAACTGGACTCAGTCCCTGGCTCCAGACTATCTGAGAGATGTTAGGCAAATACATTAGCTTTGCCGAAGAGGCCAAGTAAGCGTTAGGCTGCCAGGAGCTGAGTGACGCTTCTGGTATGCTGGAGTCAGACTTGCAGAACTGCTGCAGCAGAAGTCGGCACGAGGCTTTGCCTGGCTCGGCAGTGCTGGTCGCTCACAGGGTGCTTCTGAACTGCTAAGGTGAGCTAGTTGCAAAAAGGGCAGACATCCAATGGCATTAACACGTTCTATCTTAAACTCCACGAAATGTTGTGAGACTTCCTCTGGAAAGCTGCATATACAGTTCTAGTTAGCTACACTAAAGGAGATTAATTCCCATTTTAATCAGTACAGAGAAAGGTCAAGTGAGATTAAAAATCCTCTCTCTTAGAGACGACTATGCCGTTTGGCTTATTTAGCCTCACAAAGTAAAGGTTGAAAGAAGCTAGCAGGGCACAGGACAGTGAGTATCTGTGTGGGAGAAAGAGGTGATCTAGCTAGCAGACAATACTGGCATAAGGATAGATGTGTGTATATATAAGCAATGAATCACTTTAGCCTGGAAGTTGGCAGAAGTTTTTTTTTAACCATGAAAAGAGTGTGGTTCTGGAGCAGACTTCCAGAGCAGGAAGGGGAGGGAAAAAGATGACCAATTTTAAGAGGCAACTCCATAAAGTGAGAAAGGAATTGATATGGTAGGCAACCATGCTGCCATACAACAGATGAAACTGTGTGATTTAGGAGCCCTGTGGTCCTTGGAAAGCTCTATATAGAGTGCTAAAGTCTTGTGAAGAATCAGCTCTAATGCACAGGAAGAACCAAACCCCCAGTTTAAAGATGCGTTGTATTTTTTGCTTGTGCTCTGTGAAAAGGAGGTAATGCTGACCTTCACAGAAATGTAAAAATAGTTTGTTATGGAGTACTCTGCAATAAGTAAATGTCATGTAAAATTTCTTATGAGGAAATCTGATAATTTTGCCTTTACTGAAGGGTTTGAATAACATGTATTAGAGCTCTATAGAGACAGAAATGCAAGTCATTAATTCAGTAATTTTTGCCCTGTTTTTTGCGAAGACAGGAACTGAGGGAAAAGGAAAGATGGTACATGTTTGAAGTGGCTTTAACAAAGGCTATATGGTTATGTTTACCTGCAATTGGTAAAAATTCTGGCTGTAGAGGCAAAAGTACAGCATGTGGGCCATACAACCGTAATATTCCCCTAGATATAGACAAGCCATCTTAAACATTTGCTATCAATTCGTGCAGTGAGGATAACCTTGTTAATTTATGCAAACAAATAAAGCAGTACTGACTATTTTCAGGTGTGCCCTGGATAGCATTTAAACTGCAGCAAATATGTAAGTGCATTTGTTAAAGTGAGTGAGAGAGAAGGGGCTGTAGGAGATCAGCCTAAGTACAGAAGAGGCCTATCTGATGCAAGTTTTGGAAATGCTCCTTCAGCTTTTCACAGTCAGTTCAGCTACTGCTTAAAAAGGGATGATTTGAGTGAATTATCTTCTCCCCTCCCTTTTATCTAAACCCAAATTTATGCCAAACTTTATCTCACACAAATTTAAAGGCAATAGGATGGAACGCTTGTCATCTGTCCCGAGT